CCCCCCCCCCTCCCCCCCCCCCCCCCCCCCCGCTCTCGACGACTCGAATCGATGGGGAGGGACAGAGGGCCGAAGGGGGCGGGTCGTCGTACCACCTCCCCCCCCCCAAAAAAAAGGGGACCAAAATCCCCAACCAATGATGTGCCCTGCTACTAATGAATACAGGAAAAAAGTGAACACTCATTAAACTTGAAAATATGCACATTTCGTGCATTATGCGAGTACGAACATGAGATATGACAACGAGCGTACAAAAACGTGAGACCAACAACGTACCATATCTCATATAAACCGAGTAAGTTTGCGTTTGAACCAATCTTGAAAGGCGTTCGAAGCGACGTGTGTTAAAACATGATTTGGTCTTCATATGTATCCCACCGAGGGGAGGTGGTATAGTGACAAGTGGCGCGCTTACCACTCGCGCGGCGCCGGGTTCAAATCCCGGGTCGACTCCCGCCCAGGCCAACCAAGCCTTCTACCCTCCGGGACGGTAAATTGGTACCAGATTCGTCTGGGAGGATAAAACACTGACTTGTACATCGGCTGAGCTTTTGACGCTGTTGCAATTGTAGCGCGTCGACGCCCGTCATCGCGAAATTTGAACAGTGCCTTAGCCTGCTCTTCTGCGTCCACCCGCCGTGATACGTGGATGAACCAACAGGGGTCTATGCGAGCAATCCCCTTCTCTGATCAGCCCTGAAGGCCCGACATTTGTTGTGCGCCCTCGGAAGTCTTTCGCGGGTATGTGACAGAAATCATACTGCCGCGCTGGTAGGTGTGGCGAGCAATGCCATTCCCAACGGACGAGTTGTCCTGCCTGGACACTAGAATGTTCCATTGCTCTAATCGAGAAGCTGGTGCACATCGAGTGCCGCGCACTGTCGCAGAATATGCTGCGCGCGACGACGCGAAAAATTACGATTGTCTTGGTCGTCTTGGTCGTCTTTCCCTTTCGCATGCTTGAAAATGTACTCACCTTCACGGCTTTCTCGACATCTGCTCTATCAGCTTCAGCAAGAGCCGTTATCACCTTGCCGTTGGTAGGGTTGACCGTTTCGAATGTTTTCTTGCTCACCGCATCAACCCATTCGTTGTTTATGAAGAGCTGGAGAAAGGAGAAGTGCCGCAGTCTTCAAATCCGACAATTTGATGAGAACTTACCTTAGTGTGCTTCGGTTTAACATCCCTAATAGCCGCAGGAGTCGAGTATGCTCGAATCTGGGTAGATACCCGAGACAGCACAGTTCGCAGCATTGCCTGAAACCACATGGAATACCTGCCGTCCATTACGAAAGTTTTAGAAACTACACCCGTTTTGTTTTCAGAGCTTTCAAGTTTTCAGGGCTAGCCTCACCCCTTTACTAGATATTGAGGATGAGACATTCATACAAAACTGTGCACGCGTTGTCGCGACTGTCGCGAACTAAACCCGCATAAGGACAAGGGGGCAATAGACAACATCCAAATCGAATGACTGGCCAGTAAACAGAGAGGAACCATTGAAATAAGTACCGACTATATCTCATGGCAACGGCGTGGCTGCGAACATCCAGACAAAAGAGAGGCCGAGATGAATGTATAAGGAGAGTGGGCACAGCAACATGCAGCTGTGGCCGGAACGCCTGAGGCCCGTTGATATGTTTGGTTCGCTGGATGAAGAGACGGGGCCAGTGCAGTTGCGTCTGGCATGACGCCAATCCCGTTTTTATCCAGTCGCTGGAGCGAGCAAGCGACAATACTGTATCATATCGTTCGTGTCAGTCGTTTCCACCAACTGTTGTCGCTTACGCGCCTCAATGACTAGTGAGGAACGACTTGGCGGCCGTGCCAACCACACTGACAAGCCCTATCATCCGCACTGGTTTGATCGCAGCGAACCTGACCGCATGTAGGATATCTAGCGTTTATTACAAAACCAGCCGGCTTTGCCGGCTGATGCCTGCACGCCTTCTTCTGAGGTAAAGAATGGATTTGCTGAGCGGGCCGGCTCCGTTGCACTTATCCTTCTCCTCACCGGCTTTTCTTTTATACAGATAGTCAATAATCTTTG